AGCTTAGTATGCGTATTCTTATTTTAAGAGTTGTTGTTGCATAAATGCTAAGTGTTGCATCATCATCGCATGCATGTAGAGAACGAGTTGGCGGAGATCGTGACCACCGGCGATCACGAGTTCGAGGAGATCATCGAGGAGTACAAGGAGATTCTCGTGCAGAAGGAGGCCCCGAGCCGCCACTGACTGACTCAACGCGCCTGCCCAAGGCAAGCCCCGGTGCATAACCCTTATTTTTGATAATCACTGAATATATATATATATATATGTGATGTGCATTTACGTTACATGAATTTTATGAAAACCACATGCATAGATATAGCTGTCCTATGAGTCCTACTAGTACAAGTTCGAGTAGCTGCTAGGCTTAGGTTTTCGGTAGCGTGAGTAACCTGTCGTTACTCACAATAGGTGATTATTATAATTACTCTCATGATAAAATGATGAAAGAAAAAATAGAGACAGGGCAGGGATATGGTATGGATATTGGTGGGTGTAACAGTTTGTGTCCCGCGGCCAACGGGGCTTAGCTTGGTTACACTTTTTTCCCTGTTCGTGTCGATTAAGGACCGTCCGTTGCTATGGATGGTAGTCAGGTCACAGACTTATTATCCTGAGCACATACTTGCTTATGGGAGTAGAAAGGCTCGTTACGCTCTTGTCGTGGGCTCCGGCTCTTTCCGGAGCCTACTGATTGGAGGCGGGGAAAGGTAGAGATCTAAGCACCATACTAAGACCGGGTCTCAAGTGTGGGAGCTTGGAGTCCAAGTTTGGACGGGGACCTGGACCCTGTGACAGGAGTGGAATGGGTTGGTCTTGTTTGTGCCTGAGGTACAAACAGGGCGTGTGTTTCGTGGTACCCAGCTGGGATACATTGGTTTGCGAATCGTCGTTTCCGTGAGACGGTACGACTTGACTATGGTCTAGCACCGTAGTAAGAACTGAAAGATGAAAGATGATAAAATGGTTCCGATAGCTCAACCCTTGCTTGAAAGTAGAACATATGCTTACCTAGAATGGTTAGCTAATAAAGTAATCATGACTGCTAATAAAACTTGACTGTAAGGATGAACTATTAGTAATGCTTTTTGCAAATAAAAGAAAACAACAAACCCATATTGCCTATCACATTTCTTGAAGTCGGGAAACTATTCCCACTAGTTAGGTAAGTCTTGCGAGTACATTGTGTACTCAGGGTTTATTTTACTCCTGTTGCAGATGCAGCTTGAGGAGTAGCTCTTGTGTAGAGGATTCTTCTGGTGAGCACAGACGGATCCTTGCATCGTTTTCGCTAGATGTTTATTTTTATTCCGCTGTTTAATTATCGCACTCTGAACTCTGGTATTGTAATAAATGATTTTCAAGAACTCTGATCGTATGAAATGGACTAAATATTATAAGATCGTACTCATTATTAGATTCTAGATGTAAAACGTGGATTGTTTCGAGTTCTCCCTTGGGGTGGACTCGACGGAACTGTCCGATGTAGCCAACTTTCGGGGTGTTCAGTATCTAGTGGAAGACGAGCGCCTCCAAAAACGTGTTATTTCGGACGGTTCTACCACGGTCACCAGCAGCAAGCATTAGGTGCAAAAGTTTGAATTCTTTTATCACACTTGTGGCATGGTGGTGCTGGAAGCACTGCAATGGTTGCTTGTTCAGAGGAGTTGCTCCCAGTATTGCTTCAGTCCTGCAAGAAATATATGATGAGGCAGTTTTGTATTATGTCGGATGGCAAGAAATTATGGGAGATCTGGCCAGAGCGAAGTGTTGAGTGGAGTCGTTTTTTGATGTTTATGCTTGTTTTTTTGTGTCTAGGCTTGCCACTTGGGGCACTGCAAGGGACCGGTCCTTTTCTTTTCTATATATCTAACATAACACAAAGACACACAGTCTCCTGTGTGTTTGAGAAAAAAAGGAAGGTGGAGTGTGAGTAAAGACTGCACACATAGGTGTGATGAAATGGAATCAGAGGTCCCAAGAAATGTTACAAAGCTAACAGCAGCATATGTCATGGTCATGGCAATAAAAGTTCAGCGAGATTATACCATGCATGCACACATGAAACCAAAAAAAATCTATTTTATTACCATGTCGGCACACCCATAGGTACAACACTTCCTAGCTACTGGTTGCATGAGGCCTGTGTGCTAAGCTCTCACCTAATTGGCACAGGTTGCTGTCTTTGTGGATCAGATGATAATGTTCCTAGCATCCCAGACACTTAGTTCATATAACAAGATCAACAACATATCTATACAAGTTTTGTACAGGAGTATCTAGAATTTTTAGGAGCACTATAGAGATTATCAAGAACCTTCCCACTCGATTTTTACATTAGTGGAACCTTCTCTTCACAAAAGGTGATGTATGCATTCTATTTGCAATAACCCCTACAAACGTCACTCCCCCTGAACTTTACAGACATATGCACAATTGGAACACCATAGTTCTGATCTTATTTTTTGTAGATATTCCAACAGTGCTTTGTCTTCAACCGTTTCACACAGAACCCATCCTAAAAGCCCACCAAATATGTAATATCTCACATCATATTCCTGCAAAGTACCTTATGATTCTACTAGCCCTAGAATTTAGCCCCCTGAGACAGAATATTGAGTGAAAACACAATCAAAATGAAGATGCCACACAGACTAATATCTATAATGATGATCAAGTTGGGAGTTTCACAGTATTAAAAATAGATCACCAAAATTAATGATGAAGTTATCAAATATAGACGCCAAATTTATATCAACAGTTTGGCAAATAATACGAGAATTAAAGGTCAAACCATTTTCCACATTAGGTTGTTTACCTCCTTTACTCTCCACACAAGTTCAAGATATAATGAATGAAATCACTATTTTTCTGATGTGAGCATAAATTAATGTAGATGCATGGTTTTGATACATTTCAGTGAACATATTTAGTTATTGATAATGATAATCGCAGGACAATAAACCAAATTCAGAAAAACAAGATGGCAAAGGATTCCACGAAGTCATTCAAAGAAGGCCTCCTCAAGTAAGTAGAAAGGAAGCAAGGAACTGAGAACGAAATAACATAGGTCCGCACTGAAGCTAGTAGAACACAAAACTACAGTTTCTTTCACTGACAAAGAAACAATCAGTTACACTCAGAAACATTCCACTATTTATCCAAAGAGCCCCGCTCCAATACAAGTGATCACTCCTAGATGATCAATAAGTTGAGGACTGACAAATAAGTAGCAAGCTTACACAGACAAGTAAGAAATGCATAGCAACCCGACAGTTTGTTCAAGGTTTTACATCCAACCAATTCCTGACAGTCTGTAAAGAAGTAAAATATATTACCTAGCATAGCAGAAGGCTCCTGGTAAGCATATCCTCCTCAAAAAGAAATTAATCAGTAGCCAAGCAACTCTGGATCACCAGTGTATTCTGCCATCTGGTCATACCTAACACGTACAATATCCTTTGTATCTGCATCCTCCACCAATCCGATTTCTTCTTCGGAATTCTTCTCTACCAGGTGCCCATATAAACCCTTGTGCTTCCCATAAAGCACAAGCACCCGCCCGTTCGTCCGTGGAAGTACAGTTTCGAGCATATCCTGCTCCACCCCCTGCACCAACTCTGACCCATCATCCATCATGATGTCACACGTTGTAGGCCCCACCACATCGACAACCTTACCCTTCATCAAGTACAGCCTCTTGCTTAGTTTCTGACTAACAATCCGAACCCTGATATGGCTCTGCAACCACCGAACATTGCTTACATTGCTACGAGTATCGCTTGCATTACTTGTGCCTTCTTCGCTACCCCGGCCATTCCTCACCTTTTCACGGCCCTCCTTCTCAGACCTTTGCTCACTAGATCTCTTCTTCCGGGCACTAGAATCCCTCTCTTCCATCATATTTCTATTGTCTCGATCTCTCCTCTTCGCACTCCCATTCTCTGACGCCTTCTTCTCGCCAACAATCCAGTCGCCAGAACGAGTCTTCCGAGGATCTGCTTCAGAGGGGTTGTAGCCTAACCCCTGTGTGCCAGCACGGCGGTCGTATTCAACAACTTTGGTATCCCCTGTCTTTTTGTTCCTACCAATGCCCTTACCTTCCGTCCAGCCGTATCCAGCAAGAAGCGCCGCGCCGAATCCCTCCACGGGTACCTCATTGAACTCGTCCATGCCACGGTGCTCCGGAAGGACGTCCATGTCCTCCTTGTACCGCTGCAGCATGAGGTTGCCGGCGGCGGCAGCATCAGCAGTGGCCGGAGGCGGTGGCGGTGGCGGTGGCGGCGCCTTCTCTGATTCCTTGGCAGCAGCAGCGTCGGTGGCGCCGTTGCGGCGAGTGAGGCCGTAACCGATTTTGGATGACGGGTCGTCGGGGGCGGTCGAGGTGTCGAGGACGAAGGCTGGCCCCCCGCCGCCTGATTCGGCGGCGAGGGCGGCCTCCTCCTCAGGGGTGGGGAGCGAGGACGGTTTGCGGGGGCGGTGGGTGAGGAAGTTGCCGGAGTTGGGGAGCGGCGCGATGACGACGCGCGCCGCGGCGGAGGCAGCTAGGGTTTGGGACGGATCGAACTCTGTGACATACTGCTGGGCCGGAGCGGGCGCGGAACGGAGGTCAGCGTCATCGTCGTACGCGGCGGCGGCAGGGCGTGTGGGAAGCTTGGGCGGCCGCTGCTTCGAGGAGGAGATGGAGAACGAGAGCTTCTTCTCCTTTTCCATCGCGTCGGCGGCTGCGGCGGCGGCAGCGAGCGATCCAGGAAAAATGCGAGTCTGTTCGGTGGAGGAAGCTGGACTGTCTCGTGGCCGAGTCGGAGACGGTGCCCGTGTCCGAGTCGACCATTTGGGCCGGCCCCATCAGAGGAGAGCGATTCGGGCCATGACCCCCGGCTACGCCGTGTCCGAGTCCAGTTCGAGCCCACGAGTGTACATATCCACGGCCTCGCGCGTCCATTTGGCACCAGTCACCGGAATACCAGATCATCGCCGCTTGCTCTGCCGCGGACGCAATGGGCGAGGAGAAGAAGAAGCTGTCGATCTCCATCGTGTGCAAGCGCCGGCCTCAGAAGACCTCCTCCCTCTTTGCTGCCATCGACGATGCCCCCTGCTCCGCGCCAGCTCCCGCCCGGCAGTACGTCGCCGAGTTCGACCCATCCCAAACACTAACCCCGGCGGTGGCGCCTGTCGTCATTGCGCCGCTCCCCAACTCGGGCATTTTCGGCCGTCGCAAGCCATCCCCACTCCTCTCCGCCCGTTCCACTGCCGCCGCCGGCCTCGCCGCCTTCGTCCTCGACACCTCCGCCGCTGACCCCTCCTCCAGCACCCATTACGGCCTCACCCGCCGCGACGCGGCCGATGCTTCCGACCGTGGCATGGACGAATTCCGCGACATGCCCGTGGAGGGATTTTGCGCCGCAATCCTTGCTGGCTACGGCCTGATTGTAACAAAGGGGGAGGATACCAAGGTCGCCCGTCGTGGTGCAAGGCACGGGCTTGGCTACAACCCCTCTGAGCCCGACAAGGATTGCAAGAGGTCCGGTAGAAAAAGGTCTAGAACAGAGGAGGATTGCCAGGAGAACGATAGCGATGCCCGGCGCAAGAGGCCTTGTGGTGAGAAAAGGTCTAGAACGGAAGCTTGCGAGGAGCTGAGAGACGGCCGGGGCAGCAGCAGGGTGCGGTGGGTACAGAGCCACATCAGGGTCCGGGTTGCCAGCGAGAAGCTGGGCAAACGGCTGTACTTGACAAAGGGGAAGGTTGTCGACGTGGTGTCGCCGACGACGTGCGACGTCGTGATGGATGATGGTTTGAGGCTCGAGCAGGGCGTGGAGCAGGGTATGCTTGAGACAGTGTTGCCGCCGACGAATGGCCTGGTGCTCGTGCTCTACGGGGAACACAGGGGCGTGCGTGGGCGACTGGTCGAGAAGAACGCCGAGGAGGAGGTTGGATTGGTGGAGGATCTGGATACCAAGGGTATGATACGTGTTGGATACGACCAGATGGCAGAATTCACGGGCGATTTGGAGTAGCTGAGATACTGAATATTTTCGTTTCTTTCTTTGGGAAATTGAATGTTTTCTTTGTGGTCTGTGCTAGGAAATTTTGGAGATGAAGAGGTAGCTGTTGACCACCATGAATTGCGATAAGTAGTCACTAGATTTTTTGTAATAGAGAAGTAGATACAATTTACTTGTAATGACTGCAGGCTGCAGATGAAGGTCGAGTGTATGTGTGTAGACAAAAGATCTTTAATTGAATTCAAAGTTTCAAACCACATCGTATGTAAACTTCCGATGACAAGTTGATTGCGTGACGAACTATTATGCTCTGCTTCCGGTTCCGGCTTCCATGTTGGACTGGATTCTTCAGTCTGTCTATGGCATCGCGGGATGTTTTTGTCCCAACTATTTCTTTCTCTAGCATGTCAATGTTAAATGCAGAAGATCGCCATTCCAATTATGGATTTTTCATTGTGCACAATTTAGACATCAAGGATGTAGCATTGTACATTTGTCCCATCCATATCATGCTAATCTTGATTTTTTTTTGAGCAACTCTTGCTAATCTTGATGTGAGATGAAATCTCCAAAAACTAAAAAGAACAAAACGTGGATATTTTTTTTGGTGCGATAAAGTTTTAGGGTCGCCGTTCCCTCTTCTTGCGATCCCGCGGCTTCGTAGAATCAAAACGCCGCGCAAACACCGCGACCCAATACAAGGAAGGATCTACTCCGTGTAAATACAAGGAAGGTGGGACCCAATCACCATCGTGAGACTCCTTGCCTTATTGACTCACAATCACCTTCTTTCTCCGCGACCCAATCACCATTGTGCGTCTCGGCGACATTCTTTCTCCGCGATCGGCCTCCGCGACCTGAGACCCCACCACCATCCGTGACCAAGTCCATGAGACTCCGTGCGCCGTGAGACCCCGCCACCGTCCGCGACCTGCACCCCGCCGCCTCCGCGACCAAGTCCATGACCCCTCCGTCTCCGTGATCTCCCTTGCCGGGCCAGCAAGACATGATCACGCGTGCCCGCGTCGCCGACATCTGACCTGGAGCCTGCGTCGCCGGCGAGGACACCTTGGCGAACAGGCATCGCCGCCCATCACCCGGCGTTCAGGCAGCCCTACCACCGGCGTCTGTGGTGGCCTGCCGTCCTTCCTACGCACCGGAGACGGAGCCAACGTCGCTGACATGGACCTACGAACACCCATCGATCGAGCATCACAGCCCATCGTGAACGCCCGCCGCTCATTCCAGGTGTTGCTGACTGACCTACTATTCATTAACTGACAATTCAATTTTGTTTTGCATCCCACCTACTGTTTATAGTCCGGCAATTGCTTTCGGGAGGATAGAGGATTCAGTTAAATGTGAATTGCTTTCACTGTCTGTTTATGGCCAGGCCACAGTCGTCCCTGGCTAGGCCACAGTCGGCCAGCAGACACCCTTGGCGGCCAGGGACCAGCATGAAAGCTCTAGTTTGGTTTTGGTTAATTGATGAAACCTAAGTGCCAACCTAGTTTATCAAAGTGATTGTGAGATAGGTAGCACTACTCCAAGTGATGAAGCAACGGCGAAGATCATGACGATGGTGATAGCATGGTGATGATCAAATGCTTGAACTTGGAAAAGAAGAAAGAGAAAAACAAAAGGCTCAAGGCAAAGGTATAAATAGTGGGAGCCATTTAGTTTCGGTGATCAAGACACTTAGCATGTGTGATCACATTTAGGTTAGATAGCCGTACTATTAAGAGGGGTGAAACTCGTATTGAAATGCGGTTATCAAAGTGCCACTAGATGCTCTAACTCATTACATATGCATTTAGGATCTATTGGAGTGCTAACACCCTTGAAAATGTTTGTGAAAATATGCTAACACATGTGCACAAGGTGATACACTTGGTGGTGGGCACATTTGAGCAAGGGTTAAAAACTTCACCAGCGCCCTATACAGAAAAGATAGGGGTTTACAGAGTGACCGGACGCTGGTGGTGCAGTGACCGGACGCTGAGGTCTAGCATCCGGTCAGTGACAACAGAAAGCACACTGTCTCGGTCTTGTGACCGGACGTTGGAGTGTAAACTGACTGGACGCTCATGGTCTGAGTCCGGTCAGTGCTGACGTACGCTGACGTGAGGCGCACAGAGGAAATGTTGAGTGACCGGACGCATGGTGTGTCCGGTCGAGCATGACCGAACGCGTCCGGTCATGAAATGTCGTGTTTGGAACCTTACTGGAAACGACCGGACGCTGAGATCCAGCGTCCGATCACTTTCTAACTGACGCGTCCGGTCATCACTTAACCGTTGAAATCGGGCGATCGGCGTTTGAAGCCGATGACATGTGGCGCACATCGCACGACCGGACGCTGAGGTCCAACGTCCGGTCGGCCCGTGTTCACTGCAGTGAGGAGCCCAACAGCTCTATTTCATGGGGGGCTTCTATTTAAGCCCCATGGCCGGCTCAAGCTCACTCTCTTGGCCATTTGCATTGACATAGCAACCTTGTGAGCTTAGCCAAAGCTCTCCCACTCATCTCCATCATTGATTCATCATCATTGTGAGATTATGAGAGAATCCAAGTGCATTGCTTGAGTGATTGCATCTAGAGGTACTTGGTGTTCGTGTTTTGCTGCGGGATTCGCTTGTTGCTCTTGGTGGTTGCCACCACCTAGACGGCTTGGAGCAGCGGAGGAGGATTGGCACGAGTTGGTGATTGTTCGTGGCCATCTCCGGTGATTGTGAGGGGATTTGTACCTTCCCCGGTGGAGCGTCGAAAGGTAACTCTAGTGGATTGCTTGTGTCATTAAGTTACCTCACTTATGGGTAGGTTCTTGCGGTGTCCAAATTGTGTAGACGAGGTTTGTGCAACACCTCTTAGCCGCCGAACCACCAAGTGTTGATCGACACAACAAGGACGTAGCGTGTTGGCAAGCACATGAACCTCGGTAGAAAATTGGTTGTCTCTTGCCATTTGGTATTCTCCCGGTGATTGATTTAATATTCACCTTGTGATTGGTTCACTCCTCTATATGACGGTATAATCACCCTACTCACTCATTTATATTCTTGTAAACTAGTTGTGGTAAGCTCTTTAGTGTAATTAGAATTGAGAGCTTGCTTTGTTATTTTAAGTTTATCTAGTGGAGCTCTTTAGAGTAGCAAGATTGAGAGCTCTTAGTGAGTAGTAACATTGCAAGTTGTGTGCCTAGTAATAATTGCAACTAGAATTATTGGATAGGTGGCTTGCAACCCTTGTAGAGCTAGAGCAAGTTTGCATTTCGCTATTTGTCATACTAATCAAATTGCTCTAGTTGATTTGTAGATTTTTAAATATGCTATTCACCCCCCCTCTAGCCATATTAGGACCTTTCACAGCCCCGTCCGGCTACACCTAGTCAGCGGCCGCCCAAAACCCTAAAACCAGGGCTAGGCAGCCACGGCCGACCAAAATTTTACAATGCATTTTTACTATTTTAGGCAGCAGTGCAGCACAAGACCCCTCTCTGCTCTTTCACTTCATGTCAACAGCAGCAGCCATCTCATGTCCTGATCTACAGGTCAAGTAGCAGTCGTAGCTAGCCCAGGAACAACAGTTTTCACTGCAGCAATTGTTTGTTCAGTAAGAGGAGTTGTGCTCTCTCTGCTCTATAGGCTAGAGTTTACAGCATTAACCACAGACCAACTCTGCTTTGTTCTTCGATTTCTTGTGATAAACACATTTTATTTCCATGCAGCAGCACCAGCAATATGTGGTGTAGATCATCAGCAGGTTGGCACAACAAGTTGACATAAGCAGAGCTCTCAGGTTTGCACTGCTCTTGTGCACTTGCATTTAGAGTTGCAGGTGGTTCTTCGATTTCTTGTGACAAACACATTTTATTTCCTTGCAGTAGCACCAGCAATATAGATCATCAGCAGGTTGACAACAGCAGAGCTCTCAGGTTTGCACTGCTCTTGTGCACTTGCATCTAGAGTTGCAGGTGTGCGTTTAGTTTATTATGGGCAATATTTTTTTCGTACTACAGTAATTCAACCATTGCATTGCTTTGAATATTGCTCTTTTGTCTTGGTTGATATGCAGTGGCAAGCATGAGCTTGGGTTTAACCATTGTTCCTTTGTCAAATACTTGAGTTGCAGTTATTTGTGTTAGAACAAGCTTAATTGGTTAACAATATATTTTTATGTGTTTGCTAGCTGCAGGGTGCAAGGTAGTTGTCAGTGCAGCAAGTTCTTTGTATTTGTTCTCGGCAACTTCTAGGCACCTCTCTATTGCTTTTATTTGAATCAATGCTCGGTAATTAGTGGTTTAGTTGGGCTTCTAGCTAGAGCTATTTTCAGTGAGTTATCTTGCTTGTGTTTAGTACATCTCAATTAGCTCTGGGTTTAATATTTCTCATATTAATTAGAGCTTTGTGAACTTTGAAAAATTCCTAATTATTCCCTATAATTTTTAGAGTATAGATATATATAGTACAGGTAGTGTTGATGGACACGCCAAGGACAACCTGTGATCGGGTACCTTTGGGGACCTTACAAATACAACACATGGAGGTATATAAACTTTTATAGCCTCCCTACATGTTATTTGTTTATATGTTTTCAACTCCTCACTAAACTTTATTGAAGGGAATCATACCCGATCGGGGTTGGTGCCACTAGATGGGGATCGTAATGAGCAGAAGAGGCAGAGGGAGAGAGAATGGTATGCAATAATGTCTGATGAAAAAGGGAGTGAAAGAAACAAGAAACCCCGTCAGAGGTATACGGTGAGTAACCAAGAGAATGTTGATCTTGAAAACAATATGGCAGCCCATTCAACAGGTACGATGGTATTGTTGAGTGTCATTTTAATTACCATACGCGTTATAACTAATAACAATTACTATGTTTGAGCTTGCATATGTAAATTCCAATAATGAAATAGACAAAAATAGTGATTGGCTCCATAGGCAGTCAACCTACAGTAATGGCTTACAACAATTATCAGGTTACTTATTCTACTAATAAAAGTATTTATT